TTGTAGCTAGTGGTGCTGGTGATTGTTGCTAGTGGTGCTGGTGATTGTTGCTAGTGGTGCTGGTGATTGTAGCTAGTGGTGCTGGTGATTGTTGCTAGTGGTGCTGGTGATTGTAGCTAGTGGTGCTGGTGATTGTTGCTAGTAGTGTCTCATCTTCCGGAACCTGTAAGCCTATTTCCCATGCACATGGGTATCCTAGTCTGATGCGATGAAAGTGCACTTCTGTTGCTCTACTGCTCCCTTTCATCAACATAAGTGGTTCGTGGTTGAATTCTTGTACCAACCCGCAGATCCTGATGTTGCAACTGCTGTGTTGTGGTCACTGTACATCTTTTGCATTGCTCTGTTTCTAATTACTTTCTTAATCTGTGATAGACTCCGTGGTATGTAAATGTCTACATTTCTTCTCTTAGTTGCAAGTTTTGCAGCTTCGTCTGCAATGTCATTTCCTGTTATTCCCACATGACTTGGCACCCAGTTGATAAGTACCCGTCGGCCTTGTCGTTTGAGTGTTTGCATTAATGATATGACACTTGTGATCAGATGTATGTTATCACATATGTGTTCTTGTTGCAAGGTTTCAATGGCAGTTCTCGATCTGTATGTATGATAACATGCTGTCGGTGTTCAGCAAGAGCATGTTCCAAAGCCTTTTGAATGGCTAGCATCTCTGTTTATAGAGTTGAACACCCGTTTGAGAGTCTCCAACTATTTACAGAGTTTCCTGCTTTAACTGCAGCTCCGGTTTCTTGTCCCTACTGGTCTACTGATCCATCTGTGAAGTAAGTGAAGCTGTCGGATGCCATGTTTACTTCTATATGCATCTGTGCAATGTTACGTAGCAGATGAGGATTAGTCTGGTTCTTTTTTCCTCAAGATGCATAAACTTAAAGTCTGCTGGCGGAGATTCCCAAGGGGCAGTGATGCTGGCGATTGTTGCTAATGGTGCTAGTGATTGTAGGTAGTAGTGCTGGTTATTGTAGCTAGTGGTGCTGATGACTGTTGCTAGTGATGTTGGTGATTGTATCCAATGATGCTGATTGTTTTGCTAGTGGTGCTGATTGTTTTGCTAGTGGTGCTGCTGGTGATTGTAGCTAGTGGTGCTGATGATTGTTGCTAGTGGTGTTGGGTGACTGTAGTTAGTAGTGCAGGTGATTGTAGCTAGTAGTGTTGGTAATTGTAGCTAGTGGTGCTGATGATTGTTGCTAGTGGTGTTGGGTGACTGTAGTTAGTAGTGCAGGTGATTGTAGCTAGTAGTGTTGGTGATTGTAGCCAGTGGTGCTGATGATTGCTGCTGGTGATGCAGGTGTCTTATTCCAGGTTCTTATAGTTTCCTTACCATTGTTGCACACAACACCCTATCAACACCTGTACAGAGGTCCAAGTTCACTACACCTGTTGGAAGTCCTTTGTCTGACTTGCTGGTAAACGTTACGAAAAATGTGAGCAGGTTAGTAAGGCAAGATATATTTGTTCACCAAAATTATGTTGTGTTTATTTTATAAAATTGTCCACTGTCAAGTAATGATTGATTCCCTCCCTTGGGATTATCCCCACACGCTGGCTAAGGCTCATTAGACTTAAGTGAGTCTACGCCTCATTAGCCAGAAGTCTTCAGCTTAACTCTTTCTGCTTTTCATGAAGATGGTGGGGGGGGGGGTTGATATTTCCATATTTACAATCTAGAGGACTTTATCTTGGTCTAGAAATGTTGTAAATATTGGAGTCAAAGGTAGACATAGTTCCACGCCAGGTGCTTTACCATATGGATCGAATTTCATCATCACTTAAGTCTTTAAAATCCTTTGATTTGAAAAGGCAGTGAAGAGCAGAGACAGGGAAGGATAAAGGCAGGAAAGAGCAGAGGCAGGAAAGAGCAGAGGCAGGAAAGAGCAGAGGCAGGAAAGAGCAGAGGTAGGAAAGAACAGAGGCAGGAAAGAGCAGAAGCAGGAAAGAGCAGAAGCAGGAAAGAGCAGAGGCAGGAAAGAGCAGAGGCAGGAAAGAGCAGAGGCAGGAAAGAGCAGAGGCAGGAAAGAGCAGAGGCAGGAAAGAGCAGAGGCAGGAAAGAGCAGAGACAGGAAAGAGCAGAGGTAGGAAAGAACAGAGGCAGGAAAGAGCAGAAGCAGGAAAGAGCAGAAGCAGGAAAGAGCAGAGGCAGGAAAGAGCAGAGACAGGAAAGAGCAGAGGTAGGAAAGAACAGAGGCAGGAAAGAGCAGAAGCAGGAAAGAGCAGAAGCAGGAAAGAGCAGAGGCAGGAAAGAGCAGAGGCAGGAAAGAGCAGAGGCAGGAAAGAGCAGAGACAGGAAAGAGCAGAGGCAGGAAAGAACAGAGGCAGGAAAGAGCAGAAGCAGGAAAGAGCAGAAGCAGGAAAGAGCAGAGGCAGGAAAGAGCAGAGGCAGGAAAGAGCAGAGGCAAGAAAGAGCAGAGGCAAGAAAAAGCAGAGGCAGGAAAGAGCAGAGGCAGGAAAGAGCAGAGGCAGGAAAGAGCAGAGGCAAGAAAAAGCAGAGGCAAGAAAAAGCAGAGGCAGGAAAGAGCAGAGGCAAGAAAAAGCAGAGGCAAGAAAAAGCAGAGGCAGGAAAGAGTAGAGGCAAGAAAAAGCAGAGGCAAGAAAAAGCAGAGGCAAGAAAGAGCAGAGGCAGGTAAGAGCAGAGACAAGAAAAAGCAGAGGCAGGAAAGAGCAGAGACAGGAAAGAGCAGAGGCAGGAAAGAGCAGAGGCAAGAAAAAGCAGAGGCAAGAAAAAGCAGAGGCAAGAAAGAGCAGAGGCAGGAAAGAGCAGAGGCAAGAAAAAGCAGAGGCAGGAAAGAGCAGAGGCAGGAAAGAGCAGAGGCAAGAAAGAGCAGAGGCAGGAAAGAGCAGAGGCAAGAAAAAGCAGAGGCAGGAAAGAGCAGAGGCAAGAAAAAGCAGAGGCAGGAAAGAGCAGAGGCAAGAAAAAGCAGAGGCAGGAAAGAGCAGAGGCAAGAAAAAGCAGAGGCAGGAAAGAGCAGAGGCAAGAAAAAGCAGAGGCAAGAAAAAGCAGAGGCAAGAAAGAGCAGAGGCAGGAAAGAGCAGAGACAAGAAAAAGCAGAGGCAGGAAAGAGCAGAGGCAAGAAAAAGCAGAGGCAGGAAAGAGCAGAGGCAAGAAAAAGCAGAGGCAAGAAAAAGCAGAGGCAAGAAAAAGCAGAGGCAAGAAAGAGCAGAGGCAAGAAAAAGCAGAGGCAGGAAAGAGCAGAGGCAAGAAAAAGCAGAGGCAGGAAAGAGCAGAGGCAAGAAAAAGCAGAGGCAGGAAAGAGCAGAGGCAGGAAAGAGCAGAGGCAGGAAAGAGCAGAGGCAAGAAAAAGCAGAGGCAAGAAAGAGCAGAGGCAGGAAAGAGCAGAGGCAAGAAAAAGCAGAGGCAGGAAAGAGCAGAGGCAGGAAAGAGCAGAAGCAAGAAAAAGCAGAGGCAGGAAAGAGCAGAGGCAAGAAAAAGCAGAGGCAAGAAAGAGCAGAGGCAAGAAAAAGCAGAGGCAGGAAAGAGCAGAGGCAAGAAAAAGCAGAGGCAGGAAAGAGCAGAGGCAAGAAAAAGCAGAGGCAGGAAAGAGCAGAGGCAGGAAAGAGCAGAGGCAGGAAAGAGCAGAGGCAAGAAAAAGCAGAGGCAAGAAAAAGCAGAGGCAAGAAAGAGCAGAGGCAAGAAAAAGCAGAGGCAAGAAAAAGCAGAGGCAGGAAAGAGCAGAGGCAAGAAAAAGCAGAGGCAAGAAAAAGCATAGGCAAGAAAGAGCAGAGGCAGGAAAGAGCAGAGGCAGGAAAGAGCAGAGGCAAGAAAAAGCAGAGGCAGGAAAGAGCAGAAGCAGTGTAGAAAGCAGGACGTCATTATTTGTCATCAGGTCTTATCCGGCTGCATTTCCCAGGTCCAGATGTCATAAAATAAACAGACTCGTTAAAAAACTATTATTAACAAGGGTCGCGCCCTGTGTCTCGTCCTGGAGAGCCTCGTCCAATTTTCTCCTTGTCTGAGACACTTATAACCTGTTGATTACTTGCTAATTGTTGACGATTTCAAAAGTTTTACTCCTGCCGTCTGAACTTTTGTCAGCGTTACCTGGACTGCGAAGCTGTTTGTCTCCATATCTCGGGGGACCCGGAAGCCAAGATGAACCGGTAACTCCAGCAGAAACTTGTCCACTTTCCTCTTGAAAGCTTCCAATGTTGTCCCAGGATCATTCTTAAATTTGTCGGCAGGAGACTGAACAGTTTCCGGGGACTCTGATGTTTATACTTTGAATTCCGTTTTCTGTCAACCAGCAGTTTCTTACCACATACTCTTACCCATTTTCTGTAAACCAGAGATTATATTTAACTTTCTTCTTATTAAAGTAGCAGTAATAGGAAGCTAGTGTAGAAGTGCAAGAGCGACGGAAAGGGTTCGAGGATATGGGAAAGGAAGAAACTTTGTTAGACAACGATTGTGAAAACAGATTATTTTAAGTGTGTAACACCACGATAGGGACGGAGAGAAACAGAGGGAAAAGACAGACAAGAACGGACATATAGAGAAAATAAAGCTCAAAAAAGGAAATCACTAACACTGACACTAACACACTGACACTAACACACTGACACACTGACACTAACACACTGACACACTGACACTAACACACTGACACTAACACACTGAAACACTGACACTAACACACTGACACACTGACACTAACCCATTGACACACTGACACTAACACTAACACAATGAAAAATCAAGAAAATATCCGAAGTACTCTTACGATCGTGATGTCTTACTGACAACCACTTGAAAGGCAAACGATGAGTCACAATAACGTGGCTGGAGATATAATGACCGAACCATACATCAGAAGATGGAGAAGCGACGAGGTCTCGGTCCCTCCCGGACCATTATCAAATCGTCTCATACACACTACTTGATAATGATCCAAGACGGACCGAGACCTCGTCGTTTCACCATCTTCTGATGTGTGGTTGGGTCATTATGCAGTTGAAATCCTGTCGGGTTGAGCTTGTACTTATCTTGATCAAGGCCATCCCCTGACCTCAGGGGTGTTCTCAGCTGATGATGTGGACCTGAGGCAGTCATCAGGTGATGATGTGAACCTGAGGCAGTCATCAGGTGATGATGTGAACCTGAGGAAGTCATCAGGTGATGATGTGAACCTGAGGAAGTCATCAGGTGATGGTGTGGACCTGAGGCAGTCATCAGGTGATGGTGTGAACCTGAGGAAGTCATCAGGTGATGGTGTGGACCTGAGGAAGTCATCAGGTGATGGTGTGGACCTGAGGAAGTCATCAGGTGATGGTGTGGACCTGAGGCAGTCATCAGGTGATGATGTGGACCTGAGGAAGTCATCAGGTGATGGTGTGAACCTGAGGAAGTCATCAGGTGATGGTGTGAACCTGAGGAAGTCATCAGGTGATGGTGTGGACCTGAGGAAGTCATCAGGTGATGGTGTGGACCTGAGGAAGTCATCAGGTGATGGTGTGGACCTGAGGAAGTCATCAGGTGATGGTGTGGACCTGAGGAAGTCATCAGGTGATGGTGTGGACCTGAGGAAGTCATCAGGTGATGGTGTGGACCTGAGGAAGTCATCAGGTGATGATGAGGACCTGAGGCAGTCATCAGGTGATGGTGTGGACCTGAGGAAGTCATCAGGTGATGGTGTGGACCTGAGGAAGTCATCAGGTGATGATGTGGACCTGAGGCAGTCATCAGGTGATGGTGTGGACCTGAGGCAGTCATCAGGTGATGGTGTGGACCTGAGGAAGTCATCAGGTGATGATGTGGACCTGAGGAAGTCATCAGGTGATGATGTGGACCTGAGGCAGTCATCAGGTGATGATGTGGACCTGAGGAAGTCATCAGGTGATGATGTGGACCTGAGGAAGTCATCAGGTGATGATGTGGACCTGAGGAAGTCATCAGGTGATGATGTGGACCTGAGGAAGTCATCAGGTGATGATGTGGACCTGAGGAAGTCATCAGGTGATGATGTGGACCTGAGGAAGTCATCAGGTGATGATGTGGACCTGAGGAAGTCATGCACAATATTTATAAAAACTTCGTCTATAAAGCTTGTTCAGTTTTCCTGTTATATGACATAAATATATAATTGACCTAATTTTAAAAATGTATATTTTAAGCTATACGTTTTATCTCCACCAGTCATCGTTTATATTCTTAAATTTGCTCCACAAAATAAACAAATTACTATTCATGTTTAATATATATATATATATATATATATATATATATATATATATATATATATATATATATATATATGTGTATATCACGAAAATAAACACGTGATTAAAAATGTGACAATGTCAGACCACGGAGGAAAAATGAAACAGGAATTTCCTTAAGTACTTTCGTATATTAATACATCTTCAGAAGGAATTAATACATCTTCAGATTCCTTCTGAAGATGTATTAATATACGAAAGTACTTAAGGAAATTCCTGTTTCATTTTTCCTCCGTGGTCTGACATTGTCATATATATATATATATATATATATATATATATATATATATATATATATATATATATATATATATATATATATATATATATATATATATATATATATATATATGATGCAGTGCCGAGTGCTGTATGAAGGGGAGAAATTTTAATATTTTTTATCTGGTAGAAAAAGTGAGGAGTGAGGAAAAACAAACATTAAGCTGATAGTGACCTTTACTGTCTCCAGGCGTCAGCCTTTATTGTCTTCCTGTCTACCCTGTCCATTCGTCTCTCTGCCTGTCTTACCTAGGTCAGTGGGGCTCCAGTATAGGTCGGTAGGGCTCCAGTATAGGTCAGTGGGGCTCCAGTACAGGTCAGTGGGGCTCCAGTACAGGTCAGTAGGGCTCCAGTACAGGTCAGTGGGGGCTCCAGTATAGGTCGGTAGGGCTCCAGTGCAGGTCAGTGGGGCTCCAGTACAGGTCAGTAGGGCTCCAGTACAGGTCAGTGGGGCTCCAGGATAGGTCGGTAGGGCTCCAGTGCAGGTCAGTGGGGCTCCAGTATAGGTCAGTGGGGGCTCCAGTATAGGTCAGTGGGGCTCCAGTATAGGTCAGTGGGGGCTCCAGTATAGGTCAATGGGGCTCCAGTATAGGTCAGTGGGGCTCCAGTATAGGTCAGTGGGGGCCCCAGTATAGGTCAGTGGGGGCTCCAGTATAGGTCGGTAGGGCTCCAGTACAGGTCAGTGGGGCTCCAGTACAGGTCAGTGGGGCTCCAGTATAGGTCGGTAGGGCTCCAGTATAGGTCAGTGGGGCTCCAGTTCAGGTTAGTGGGGCTCCAGTACAGGTCAGTGGGGCTCCAGTACAGGTCAGTGGGGCTCCAGTATAGGTCGGTAGGGCTCCAGTACAGGTCAGTGGGGCTCCAGTACAGGTCAGTGGGGCTCCAGTACAGGTCAGTGGGGCTCCAGGATAGGTCGGTAGGGCTCCAGTGCAGGTCAGTAGGGCTCCAGTACAGGTCAGTAGGGCTCCAGTACAGGTCAGTGGGGCTCCAGTATAGGTCAGTGGGGCTCCAGTATAGGTCAGCGGGGCTCCAGTACAGGTCAGTGGGGCTCCAGTAGGGCTCCAGTGCAGGTCAGTGGGGCTCCAGTTGGGCTCCAGTGCCATTTCCGGCATAACGGTGGGTTAATGAACGCTAGCCACAAAGGAACGTATTGCTTTGTGGTATTGACAGGGAGTCCGTCTCTCTCTCTCTCTCTGTCTGACGCTCTTCAGTCTCCATATCTCTTTTTTTTTCCTCGTTCTATATTTCCTACCTTTATATGATGGGAAAGTTGTGTACGCACCTTGACTCCCCACTTTCTCTCTTCCTTACACACTGTTGCATTACCCTTCCTTCTATTCCGCCTGTTCTATTACGTTTTCTGACTCTCCCATACTTTCTCCTTCTGATCTAGTACTTTCCCTAACTTTCCCGTACCTTTACATTTCTGCTCTATTGCTCTTCCCAACTCTTCCTTCCCTTTCTCCCTCTGCTTCCTCAAATTCGTTAATTACCAATAATTGAAAAAGTCAGTTAATTTGTCTTTCGTCTGCACCCTACATCTCCTACTCACCTTAGAAAAGGGAGAGAGAGAGAGAGAGAGAGAGAGAGAGAGAGAGAGAGAGAGAGAGAGAGAGCGAGAGAGAGAGAGAGAGAGAGAGAGAGAGAGAGAGAGAGAGAGAGAGAGAGAGAGAGAGAGAGAGAGAGAGAGAGAGAGAGAGAGAGCGAGAGAGAGAGAGAGAGAGAGAGAGAGAGAGAGAGAGAGAGAGAGAGAGAGAGAGAGAGAGAGAGAGAGAGAGAGAGAGAGAGAGAGAGAGAGAGAGAGAGAGAGAGAGAGAGAGAGAGAGAGAGAGAGAGAGAGAGAGAGAGAGAGAGAGAGAGAGAGAGAGAGAGAGAGAGAGAGAGAGAGAGAGAGAGAGAGAGAGAAAGGGGTGACTGAAGGTGGAAGAAAAAAAGAATAGTACTTCACTAGATGAATCCAAGATTAGATGCTTGAGACACCACCGGCGTCCATATAGAGGTTTAGGCTATATCTACCTTATTGTCTTTTGGTTTGAGCAGGCGAAGTTACGCCTGGTAGAGCTCTCACGTCCTGTCTGTCGGCGCTGCTCTATATGTATAGTATAGATGACCTGGCGTAGCCAATGGGAGAGGACCTGTGACGCGATGCCTCAGTGACTCCGCCAGTGATTGGGTAGGCCCTTAGGGTGTTTGACGTCATAGAGTGTGGGCGCTCGTCCTCTGATCGTCCTCTACGACTCACTTGAGTCGTAGCCTATTTGAAAGCCCGAAAGCAGCAGGATCGGGTCAATGGTTTGAGCATGAATGATCTTATTTCAGGCAGGAACAACACAGGACACACTCATTGGTACACTTGATCGACGGTAAGAATTTTTGGTACGATGCTAACAGGAAGTCGAATGGGGGGTTCTACCGTGTCAACGGGTTACTGCCCGTGTTTGGTGCCGTGTCAACGGGTTACTGCCCGTGTCTGGTGCCGTGTCAACGGGTTACTGCCCGTGTCTTGTGCCGTGTCAACGGGTTACTGCCCGTGTCTGGTGCCGTGTCAACGGGTTACTGCCCGTGTTTGGTGCCGTGTCAACGGGTTACTGCCCGTTGACACAGCACTCGGTGGAAGAAACTATTGACGACCCGTTCTCTAGGGCGTCCTTGGAAACAACATGTGATCAGCAGTCTGGAGGAGCAGCGTCGATTACATCACGCGATGTACCGGACTGGTGACACCGGTGTACCGGACTGGCGACTGTACCGGACTGGTGACACGTTGTACCGGACTGGTGACAGTCGGTGTACCGGACTGGTGACACCGGTGTACCGGACTGGTGACACCGGTGTACCGGACTGGTGACACTGGTGTACCGGACTGGTGACACCGGTGTACCGGACTGGTGACACCGGTGTACCGGACTGGTGACACTGGTGTACCGGACTGGTGACACCGTTGTACCGGACTGGTGACACCGTTGTACCGGACTGGTGACACCGGTGTACCGGACTGGTGACAGTCGGTGTACCGGACTGGTGACACCGGTGTACCGGACTGGTGACACCGGTGTACCGGACTGGTGACACCGGTGTACCGGACTGATCGAGACCGGGCAGCCAGTCAGCCTTGTCAATACCTGTGCTCGAACTCATTGTTTGATAGACTATCTACTGTTTGTGCTAATCCACATTCATGCGGAAGTTGCTCTCGGACGTAGATCTTCGTCTAGACAAGAGATGCAACGCGCCAGAACGAGATGTACACTATTCATGTGAAGAGGATTACCTTCAATGCAGCACGCACCAGTCCTCAGGCGCGGTGACCCTCGAATTAAATGGTATTTCTGCTTTTGGATATAATGTTGGGTTACGGGAGCGAGGCAAGACATTGTCCTCTCATGTTCCTTTACATTTATTGAACTATTTACTGAACATCTTGTAATGTGCTTTCATTTATTTATTTCAAATTAGGTTATACTTTTGCAGTTAAGCATTGGTTATATTATCTTCATATAATATTAATAGAAAAGCGTCTTATAATTTTGTTTATACAAATGATGATTTGTAGATGAGTTTAAGGGTTTTCGTTCAAGAGGTGAGGGTATCTTGAGGTTATCTTGAGATGATTTCGGGGCCTAGCGTCCTCGCGGCCCGCTCTTCGACCAGGCCTCCTTTTTGTTACACACACCCCTGTGTGTAACAGCTGTCTAATTCCCAGGTACCTATTAACTGCTAGGTGAAGAGGGGGGCATCAGGGTGAAAGAAACTCTGCCCATTTGTTCCCGCCTCCACCGGGAATCGAACCCGGAACCTCAGGACTACGAATGCTGACCGCTGTCCACTCAGCTGTCAGGCCCCTTAGTAAGGTAGGGGGAAGAGGGAAATGGGTAAGCGAACGGGGGTGAGAGGGGTAGATGAGGGGTAGTTGGATGAGGTAGTAGGATGAGGGTGGTGGATAGTGTTACATCCACTTTGTATCTCCAATAACAGTGGTGCTGTGTTTTGTATCTGGTGTTAGGTTAGATTAGATTAGGTTAGGTTAGATTAGATTAGGTTAGGTTAAGTTAGATTAGGTTAGGTTAGGTTAGGTTAGGTTAGGTTAGGTTAGATTAGGTTAAGTTAGATTAGATTAGGTTAAGTTAGATTAGGTTAAGTTAGATTAGATTAGGTTAAGGTAGATCAGGTCAGCCCTTAAATGGAGAATTCTGAAAGTAAAACGATTTCTGGAAGGAAAATGCACTAACCTTCAGGTTAGAGGGAGTGCTTGCCTCCATGTTGGGGACGATCCACCTCATCGACCTACCCCGTGTCCCTAGAGCACACGCCCGGGGCTGCTCTCTAACCTTTACGAAAACAAGAGAGGCGACACAAGCTGCCTTGAGCTTGACAAATCACCCACTAGAGCAATGGGGGTATGGGATGGCGGGCCACGACGCCTCCTGCTGTGAGTGCACAGGTGAGGCTGTGCAAACACAGGTGAGGCTGTGTGAACACAGGTGAGGCTGTGTGAACACAGGTGAGGCTGTGAAGGCACAGGTGAGGCTGTGAAGGCACAGATGAGGCTGTGAAGGCACAGGTGAGGCTGTGAAGGCACAGGTGAGGCTGTGAAGGCACAGATAAGGCTGTGAAGGCACATGTGAGGCTGTGAAGGCACAGATGAGGCTGTGAAGGCACAGGTGAGGCTGTGAAGGCACAGATGAGGCTGTGAAGGCACAGGTGAGGCTGTGAAGGCACAGATGAGGCTGTGAAGGCACAGGTGAGGCTGTGAAGGCACAGATCAGACTTCACAGGAGCCGAAAGTGGCCAGTCTTCACAGGAGCCAATAGTAGGTAGTCTTCACAGGACTGAACAAGTAAAGCGTAGTTCAAGAGATCGAACTCGTTCTGGATAAATAGGGCTCGATTATCCTTAACTTGTAAAAGCGGAATTTAATTAATTGCTGAACTACGGGTGAAACATGGTACAACTTCTCAAATTCCGGCAATTCATGAGAAAAGCCAGGAAATTCCTTGCTGAAGTTTTCCATCATAAAACTTCACATAAAGCGAGAGAAAAGACAAGATTAACGGCTTGGTGCAATTCGTTAGCCTATCCTCCAGAAATAACACTAGCTTTAGCGACTATGGATAAAACGTTACAAAAATATACCGTTTGCAGTCAACCCAAAAATGTAAACAATTTTGTCCTATTGATTTTGTTTTGAGCCTGAGAGTGAATGTAACAACTTAACCTTTCATAGACCTTGTACATATATGTATTAATTACCTTTTAGATTGCTAGTATTAGGCTAGGAATTGTTTATATAGACCTGGTACATACAAGATTAGGTTTATTCTCTTGTAGCATCCGAAGGTCTCCCAATGACTGAAGAATACAACATTGTGTTCTTTCGCTCTTTCTCATTTGCTGGAGAGTGTTAGGAAATTCTCCTAGCTAAATAACTAGCATTTAGGTTACAACCGTTATCTTGAGGTTATCTTGAGATGATTTCGGGGCCTTAGTGTCCCCGCGGCCCGGTCCTCGACCAGGCCTCCACCCCTAGGAAGCAGCCCGTGACAGCTGACTAACACCCAGGTACCTATTTACTGCTAGGTAACAGGGGCATTCAGGTTGAAAGAAACTTGGCCCATTTGTTTCTGCCTCGTGCGGGAATCGAACCCGCGCCACAGAATTACGAGTCCTGTGCGCTATCCACCAGGCTACGAGGCCCGTGGTCCCAATCCTGAAGGGGAGACTGGACACCTTAAGTCCCCCCGAGGATAGACAGGTAGCCCAAATCCGAGATGCAATACAGGTAGCCCCAGTCCTAAAAACGAGACGGGTAGCCCCAGGTCTAAAGGTGTGAGAGAGGTAGCCCCAGTCCCAGAAGCGAGACAGGTAGCCCCAGTACTAAAAGCGTGAGAGACGTAGCCCCAGTCCCAGAAGCGAGACAGGCAGCCCCTGTACTAAAGACAAATGAGGTCACAATAGACCCAGAGAACTCTCCGCTCTTCCTCACACAAGCACAAACACCTCAGGAAATGCATGAATGGAGAATGGAGTCACAGTAGCCTCGCCTACACATTCTAATGCTTTATTTGTGTAAAGTTTGTTGTTATTTAAAACTATCCAGTTAATTAAATCTGACAGTAACTCTGTGCACAGAACTTTTGTAAATATTGGTATTACAATTTGAGGGAAAAAATTATATAATGAAAATGAAAAGCAAATACAGAAACGTATCAAATAACTAATAAAATCCTTGTGCCAGAATAAACAAAAAATCTCAACAATATTATTTTCACAGTATCATGTGTAAATTTATCTTCTACAGTATCTGCAATTGTTTGTATATGTTAAACAAAAATATATATTTTAGTACCATTTATTTATCATTGAAATAGTGATCATAGTTTGTCATGATGCAGCCCTTCCTCCTAAGGTTACCCAACGTCAATTAAAGTTAATTTAAAGTGTCCTCTCCTAATCTACCAGAGGACCCAAAATAGAAAACGGGACAGTACGTCACTTTCGCGAGCCGCTTCCATTTTCTAGTACGACAATGTTTAGCCTCATGTAACACTACGACCGAGATGCGACGTTCTTTGTAAGAGGACGGGTTGTGTGAAGATGTTTATTCACAGAGATTTTTCTTCGAAACAGTTTGTTATTCGTGATTGCGTTGACTCACACGGAGTACAGCTTGCCCTTGTAAACAAAGGCCAAAGTCCATTCCATGCACCCGCCAAACCTTCTGTTTATGGATGAAAAACGGTTTACACACGACTCACAACTGATGACGTACGAACACTTCTCGAACAGTGCTTCACTGACGACTATTGTTCGAACCACAATGCTGTAAATGCTTTACCAACGTACTACAAATACAAATAATCGCCAACAGAACCAAAACTCCTAGCCTAACCCATGCCTAAATATGCACAGTGCTAATATATAACAGTAATAATTTATACTTAAGAAAAATTATATTTAGAATGAACAGCATGCTAAACTTAATGAATACGTTTTTGGGGTCGACCGCTGGATGGAATGGACATAGACTGTGGACGGATTGTGGTATGAATTTCACTTGACTGTAGTGTACCGCTACTCAAACACTCCCGCGCACTCTAACGTTGCATTGTTTGCTCTTGAAGTTTCTAATAACCTGGAATTCCTAGTTTAATGTTCTGAGACAGCTTAGTGTTCTGAGATAGCTTAGTGTTCTGAGATAGCTTAGTGTTCTGAGATAGCTTAGTGTTCTGAGATAGCTTAGTGTTCTGAGATAGCTTAGTGTTCTGAGATAGCTTAGTGTTCTGAGATAGCTTAGTGTTCTGAGATAGCTTAGTGTTCTGAGATAGCTTAGTGTTCTGAGATAGCTTAGTGTTCTGAGATAGCTTAGTGTTCTGAGATAGCTTAGTGTTCTGAGATAGCTTAGTGTTCTGAGATAGCTTGGTGTTCTGAGACAGCTTAGTGTTCTGAGATAGCTTAGTGTTCTGAGATAGCTTAGTGTTCTGAGATAGCTTAGTGTTCTGAGATAGCTTAGTGTTCTGAGATAGCTTGGTGTTCTGAGACAGCTTAGTGTTCTGAGATAGCTTAGTGTTCTGAGATAGCTTAGTGTTCTGAGATAGCTTAGTGTTCTGAGACAGCTTAGTGTTCTGAGATAGCTTAGTGTTCTGAGATAGCTTAGTGTTCTGAGACAGCTTAGTGTTCTGAGATAGCTTAGTGTTCTGAGATAGCTTGGTGTTCTGAGACAGCTTAGTGTTCTGAGATAGCTTAGTGTTCTGAGATAGCTTAGTGTTCTGAGATAGCTTAGTGTTCTGAGACAGCTTAGTGTTCTGAGATAGCTTAGTGTTCTGAGATAGCTTAGTGTTCTGAGACAGCTTAGTGTTCTGAGATAGCTTAGTGTTCTGAGACAGCTTAGTGTTCTGAGATAGCTTAGTGTTCTGAGACAGCTTAGTGTTCTGAGATAGCTTAGTGTTCTGAGATAGCTTAGTGTTCTGAGATAGCTTAGTGTTCTGAGACAGCTTAGTGTTCTGAGACAGCTTAGTGTTCTGAGATATCTTAGTGTTCTGAGATAGCTTAGTGTTCTGAGATAGCTTAGTGTTCTGAGATAGCTTAGTGTTCTGAGATAGCCTAGTGTTCTGAGATAGCTTAGTGTTCTGAGATAGCTT